TAAAAAATAATCACATTAAATAAGCACAATCTGGTGTATAATCATATTCTATCAGAAGATCATATCATATCCTATTTTATAAAACTAGACATTCCTTGAATAAATTGTTTTTTATTCAAAATATTTTATTCAAACTTCTTTACTAAATTTCAAATAAATTATTAAGCGTCTAAAAAGGAAACATTGTATTTTATAGTTAGAAAGAAATAAAAATAAAAAGATTAGCAAACGAATATTAGCGAAAAAAATATGAATGAAATTTCACACTACGCGCGCGAAGTCAAGTTCCTTGCAAGTTTATCACATTTTAATATTAATCGCCCCATTTAATCATTTCTCTATTGTCGCAAATTATTTTTTAAGAATTATTAATTTTAATTTTTCTCAGCTTCTAATAAATAAAAACAGTTGAAACTTTAGATTTTTCAATTGAAAAATATGTAGATTAATATGGTATAAAAAAATTCATATCTTATAATTCAAAATTTTTTCATCCTCAATATTATTAAATAATAAAAAATAATTAATAATTATTAAAAATTATTTTTTTTCATGAAATTATCTTTGGGTAAATGAGTTTTATGAGTGGGTGCAATTTTCTTTAAATTGCTTCATTAGTTTGGAAAATATGACTAAAAACGAAAAAAGTGAAATTAGCATTAAGGGGTACGAACTTTGGATCGCTCTCCTGACCAATCTATGGGGACCATATTTCCCAGATAGCGGCTACCCCCTATATTTTGAAGGTTAAAAATCTAAATATGTAAAAAAAAATTATGTTTATTCAGAGAAAGTACGTTTTTGTGTTTGATTTCGTAAATTAATTAATAGTTAGCACCAATTAATTAGCATGTTTGAGGTCACCCCCAGGAACCATTNTGTTTATTCAGAGAAAGTACGTTTTTGTGTCTGATTTCGTAACTTAATTAATAGTTAGCACCAATTAATTAGCAAGTTTGAGGTCACCCCCAGGAACCAATTGAGATTGACACTTAGTTCGTGAAAATCCGATCATTAGAACGAAAGTTATTCAGGGTGATTCGTTTTTTTATTTTTTTTTTTGCGGACTGTACAATATCAAATTTCATTAAAATCGGTTGAGCAGTTCTAGAGATAATCGACCAAGTCTGCAAATTTTCTTAACTTCTTACACCAGTGCAGCTCACTTTAATATATTTAGAGTTTTTTTGTTTTTAGAAGACAAGTATAATAAAAGCATTTCTGGCAACAAAAATAAACTTAATTTTGAATTATAAAATTTTCGTTACGGTATTTTAACCCTTCATGTGGTAATCTTTTCGTTCATATAATTACAGTTTACATGAAATTCTGATTTTCAAACATATAGTTCTCATTACCTCTCATTTTGTAAAACATGCAACCATGAAGAGTAAATTTAACCAGTTTAATGGTTTTCATGTCATGCTCTAAGGTATAATTAGAAAAATGTCAAATTTTACCACATTTATCAAAATTTATCACAGATTATAAAACCATATTTTACGGTTAGTTTTATTAAAATCATTTCCAAAGCGATTCGATAAAATTTACTGACCTTGTTGGTTTTCTCATAGAGTCAGAAAGACGCTAAATTTTACAATATTCAGGTAGTTTTGACATCATTTTTTTTCTCAGTGTGCTAAGCACACTGACAAACTAAATAGTAACCAACAAACCAAGGAGCAGCATTTTTCTAATCATTTGGGAAAACTCAAGAAGGTCAAAAAAAATATATTACACATGTCTAGTAACCAAAAAAATATAGCTACAAAAATTTGCAATTTTTTTTTTATTGTGCTTTGTGTTTTCATTAAAAATTTACTTTAGAAACCTTATAAGTTTAAGGAACAAAGGGCAAAAGTGGCATTATGAACTTTCAAATTTAGCAGATTGTCCTAATATATAAGATACAATAAATTTATTGCTTGTAAATTGTATACTTGAAAGGCTTTACTAGTTTCTAAAAGAAAAATCATTATAGGAAAAATCAATTTAATTAAGGCAAGGGGCATAATGTCACAAATGTCATAACTTCGGGAGAAGAACCCATATGCTCCATAATTAATTTATGAAAGCAAAACATTCTAAATTGTTACCGTTTTCCTCAGCTGTAACAATGCTTGAAGCAAACATTTCCACGATTTTGCTTACCACTCCTCCAGCTACAATCTCTTCGGTCTTTTTTTTTTTTTTTTAACAAAACTTTCTATAGCGACGTCTAAGTATGAGGTTGAACTGCATTTTTTGACTAATATCATTCGAGCAATTTCCTTAACATTGTAGTTTTTAATGACAAACTGCTATTTACATAATTTTACTTTGAAGAGAAATGCTTTCCAATAGGCTAATAACTGACTGATCATTGATAAAGTTTAGATCTACAGGTAGGTAATGTGATGTCATCTAAGACATCTTAATAATAAAAGATATTACTGAAAATAAACACACACAGAAACATACCTTTCTTTTCTTTTCCATGAACCACGATTAAATATTTGATTTCCTTTTCACTTCAATGTATTAGACAACAACTTGGCATCAATTATAACACAAGAGCAGTCGAAATACTGAACACACCGAAAGGATAAAAGAAAGAATTAAAAAAAAACATTTGTCCTATTCAAATCTTCAAACCATTTAAAACTTTTTTTCTTCTTTTTTCCAATATAATGACAGCGAGTAAATTTAATACCATAACGTTGCCATTAGAACAACACAAACGATAATAAATAACAAAACACTCATTAGTCTCGGGGAGTGAAAGTGTGTAATGTTTGACCTTTTTAAGACGACTTCCGAAAAAATGGGTAAACCAGTTGAGAACAAAGTTCAAATATCAGCAAGACACACTTTTTTTTCGTTTGTTGGTAGCTATTTTCTCCGCTTTCATAAGGTAGTAAATGGTTCGTGTTGCTAATATCCAAATTTTTTGTTAATTATTAACCTAGATTTCAGCTTTTATCATTGTAGTTAAAGCAAATTATGATTGATAAGGAAAGAGAAATAGAAAAAATACAAAAAATCCCTTGAATAAAAATTAGAGTAAAATGGACAAATTTTTTAATTTTGATACTAAATGCAACATAATTAATTGGAAGTTCTATGGTTTTAAAGTAAAATTAAGTAAAGTAATTGTAACTTGTTGCATATTTTCTCGCGAATTTTTTTTTAAAAAGTCCATCAGACAATTTTTCATTACTAAAAATAACTAATAAAGATGTTTAAAGTGACGTCACTTCACTACTACTAGCAGTAGCCAATTAGAAAGTTTTATTTTTAGTGAAATAATGCAAACAACCGGCTACCATGAGCAACCGCAATATTACAGCAAATGATTGAATGAATAATTAAGTGATAATATAGTTCAGCCTCTGGCTTGCATATATCTATTCTTGAAAATTAACTTTTCTTTTTGATAAAAAAAAAGCAATATATAATCTCTTAACTTATAAAGAGAAATCAGATATTTTATCACAAACTATATAAAAGTTTCCTAATTTGAGGTATTTTCTGTTTATACTAAATCGTTTGCAAGAGTTTTTTTTTTTTTTTGGTTTTTATGCCATAAATTTTAATATTTTTTTTAAATTCTTAATCATTGTCTTTTAGTAAATTGAATTGCTCAAATGGACAATAATAAAATTATAGAGAAAATGATTAACAAAAATTTAATATCAAACCTTGGAACTTTTAAAATCATTACAACAAAGAAAGAACTATAACAATGAGGAAAATTTTGTATATTACCTTTACTTTGAAAACAATTCTGGTTTAATTACTGTACTGTATTGTAAAAATTCGAGAATTCTTACAATTTTTATAATATTTTAGAAATTTGATATAACAATCTATTAATCGTCATTAAAATAAATGATAGCAAAGTAATCAATTGTATTTAGTGAGTAAAGAAAGAAGGGAAGAAAATTATTTTTACTCAAACAATTTCAAACAGAAATTTTAAAAAATATTGCTGCCGCTTGAGTGTTTAAGAATCAAATAATTTAAAAGCATATAAAAAGTTCTATGTCAGAATCATTCGCAAATTTGCTGCTTGCATAACATTCATCATCATTTATGTAAAACTGTCTGACAAATTTATTCTAACTTGCACAATACTGCCAATTATTTTGTAACATTTGTGAAGCAATCGTTCAATCAACTCCGAGCAATTTCTTTTTTCTTTTTTTTTTAAACATTTAATATTCAGTGTGATTTTCTCATTATTTATCATATTATGTAATAAGTTTTCGAAAACCAGATCGATACGTTCCGCAATAAGTTACCGCAGTTCACCATTCAAGTTTTCTTACTTATTTGAGTCAAAAGAAAAGAAAATGTTTCTACAAATTAATGCGTTCTTTAAAAGAGTATGCTTTTTTAGTATCTTACGTAATAATATTCTCATAAATATTTTTTGTTAATAATCTAAAACGGAAGCAATATGTAAATTAAAAGAAAATATTACTCGGTTTAATTAATAAGGGGACAAATTAATGGGAATGACAACTATATTATATTGTTCTAGAAAAAATTATGTTTTTATGTTGCTTTTATTTATTTATTTTATTTATTGACTGTTTCTTAAAAATTTAGAAAAGTTCAATGATTTATATAAATTCATTAAAATATATATATCAAAATTCTAGAATGATTTGAGAAAGGAGTATGGAAAATGCATACATGCATATGATTTCTTTAAACTCTTTAAGGGATTTTATTTTTAAAATTTCAATTTTGTATGTCTTTATTATTACTTTACTTAAGTGATTACGTTTAAACAAATGTTACTAAATGTTTTGGTAGACTTTTTTCAAAAATTTTTAATTTTTTTTTAATCTAAAGAACTGATTATTGCGACTTTTCATTAGAATGTTCGTATTAAAACACCGTGAAAAAATATGACAAAATTAAAAACATGCAAAAATTTTCCGTAGCTCTTTGGTATTAATTTCGGTAAAAATAGCAATAAAATATAGTTTAATAATCTGCGATAAAATCTGGTAAATGTGTTTAAGTTTTTAAATCTTCCATGATACCGTAGAGCATGGCATAAAAACTATTTATTCGATCAAATTTGCATTTTGATTAAATTTTAAGTTTTGTATTTATGTACTAAATGTAATAAGCGCTATAATAAATAAGCGCTGTAAATCTAAAAACCAGAATTTCTGATAAACCGATACCATATGAACGGATAAATTAGCAAATTAATAATTTAAATACTGAATGCTTTTGGTTTTCCTAACCAGAATTATATTTTATATTTTTTCACGTGAAATGTCATTACCATTCGGTAATTTTACCATATTTTTTTTTTCCTCCTTGAATGCAAAACCCACTAGAGAGTTCTACAAATATATATATATATACGAGGGTTGCTTTTTATATTTCTGGCCTTGGCAACAGTAAGTGTTGCTAGGCGACGGCAGACTATTTTAATCGAAAGTTTGATATTTTTAAACATAAATTCAGCAGTCGATTTACCATTATAGCTTCATTTGTGTTGTTGACAGTANAAAACCTTTGGTCGAACAAAAGTATTAGGCTACTAATAAGTGTGACACCAAATATACAACTATACATAATTTGCAACTATACAAAAGTTTAAATTTATCAAGCTTTTAGATATAAATGGCATATGTTTGTGTACATTTAGAAATGACTTTTAAAAAAATTATTTGATGCCTATGTTTTTCTTTAAAGAAAAGGAAAACTGGTCTTTTGGGAATGTTTTTAATTCCTACTTTGACATTCGCGTTGTAATCGAAGCAATTCAAACAAATGCTTCGTGACATTTACATTTCTCTAAAAAATCTAAAACAGAATCATTCTTTTGATTTTAGAAAATTTAACAATAACATTAGGGAAGTAATCGTTTTACTAATGTTTCTTCGCAGATAAAGAGAGAAAAAGATCACTATCATGCACGAAATCTTGTACTCGCTTCATTGAACGGAGCAAATTTGAGTTAGAAAAGAAAAACAACAGCTCTGTTAAATTGGGAATAATAGATTTTTAAAACTTATTCTATCATATTCGTTAACTATATACATTTGTTAGTTAACATTCGCAGTAATTTAGTGGAATTTATTTGACTCTAACCGTACCTTTTTGTAATTTTCTTTGCTTTAAAAAATGCATGCTGAAATTTACATTTAATAAGGTCTCATTGATTTTTTTTCTTTTCAAACGTAAACTTATAATTGTATAACACAGATTATTAAAAAATAATTATTCAAGAATATCCGATATAAGTTTTGTGTCTAGGAAATTTAGAACAAAAAAAAACAGCAAGGCAAAACAATTTTTGATTGCTTTCTTATTTTTAGGATTTTTAGAGGCAGAGAAGAAATATTAGAATCATTATATAATCGCCATTTTTTTATTTGCTCCATCTAGGTCAAGAAATTTTTGTTTTTGTTTTGATTTATCTGTTTAATAATAAAAAATAAAGTAAAACTTCAAAACCCAAAAGTATTTTATCAGCATTCTTCGCATGTCCTACCCCTCCCCTCTTATTTTCGCACATTAACCCAAAATGCTGACTAATCTAACTTTCCTAATAATGATAGCTCTAAATTTAAGCTACACTAAACATTGTTTAAAACTGTATTGACTGGGATTGAATGGGTTTTTTTATTCAATGTCCAATGTACCAGATATTAGTCCTATAATTTTAAATGTCTGAAACCCCAATTAAACATCATTCAATTTTTTTTTTCTGCTACACAAAAGTTACTAAGTCAATTATTGGAAAAATGATTTAATGTGAATTATCTTCAGTATTTTTTTGGAAAATAAGCTCAAGTTAACACGATTTGTTTATGTTAATATATCCATGCTAAGTACGTTGCTTCGGGTTTTTTATTTCAAGCAAGTTTCATATTTACTCATTTTTTTTTCAATTGTTTTATCAGCTACTTTTACCTCACAATATTTCCGAACTTGAATTCGAATATAATGAATAGTAAGTAGATAAAGCAAAGAAGGATTGCCGTTAAAATGGGAGAAAAACAAGATTAAAATTTAAACTTCAACAATTAAGGCTAAGTTCATTTCAGGAGCCTTTACTTAACCTAAGAACATCTAAGAATGTTTCAAACTTAAATTTGCTTAAATGAGTTCGGCAAAAGATAGATTCTGCTAACAACTAGTCTTAATGTAAAACTAATAGAAAACTGACCCGCTTAACATGAACACAAAAGATGCCCTTCAGTTTGTGTTCTTTTTTTCGTAATATTATAAGCCAAAGGCTTAATTTTTTTTCTGATTATTGTTTTGAACTCTTAACATGTCTCGCGGACTTACATAAACTCTTTCCTTAATGGTTTCAAAGATTTGAATTTAACAATGTAATAAAAAAAGGAAGCAATTCTTCCTTTTTTTTTATCTCTAACTCATGGACGAACTCAGCAAGCCCTCTCTTGTAGCATATTTGTTAATCCTAATTGTCTAAAAGAAAAACAATTTATTAATTACGATCGAGGTTACTGTTAAAAAAACGATGCCCATATTTCATTATGCTTACGGAGTTAATGTATGTTATAACGGATTAAGCTTTTTGTTTATTATTAGGATTGGGCATAAACAGTACGATTGTTTCAAAAATTGATTATTTTACTTAGTAAAATTATTAACAGCTTAAAAAATAAGAAATATCAAGTTATTTTTAAAATATATATGCTTTATCTATAATTAAAACAGTAAAAGAGTTTTTTCAAAAATATATATATCCCTTCTATCATGTTAGTCTCTACTCTAAAATCATTTCTAATTGGTGA